CAGCTTTTTGAAAACTTGCCATGTAGCTCTTCTCTATTCTGTTCTCTATGAATTTAGAGAAAATGAATAAAAATCATTATTTGAATTTTGAAAATATATACAAGTTGCCACATGTAGCATCTACAATATTTTGTTGGAGAATAACAATGTTGAGTTAGAAAAAAAGCTCTACTTTAAATATTAATAAACAAAACATTCTATAAACTAAAAATACACAAATGGTAATATTTTTTACTTTGAAAAATTTACCTATCATATTGTATAAGCTTTGTAAGTAAAATCAATAACTATATTATAAAGATTTAATTAAGAGGATAAGGATTAAAACTTGACATTACGGTCTAACAATAAAAGTGCAGCCTCGCAAACTTTAATAAGTTTTGGTTTCAAATTAGTCCTAATTCTTTATTTATATTTTGAATATTATTGTTTTTGGCAGTCAATACTCTTTAAAATTTTTATTTTTAATCAACATCTTTCATTATTTAAAATCTATAAAAAAAACTTAAAAATAACTATCAGCATACAAATTATAATGTAAATAAAAGGTTTAATTATTAAGTTTTAAGTTTTTTACGAACTTTAAATTTTGAAAAGTATTGATTGAAAGTAAAAATTTTAAATGATGTTGACCACTGAGAATAATAATATTCAGGATATAAATAGAAGGTTTGGCTTTCGAATTTTCCATGCCTAGCATAAAGTTAAGTACCAACTTGCTTGGTCTTGACTTTTGGGGATTGTTTTGCTTGTGATCTAGAAGTTAAGGAATGCCGATTTTAATATACCTTCTACCCTTCTTTTCTTTGAAAATATCTTCTATTCTGATTGCTTTCTTGTTGTTTTGTTAGGTGTAATGCGTACAATCTTTTTCTTCTATTATTTTTCAGCTGCCTCGACTCTTAGGAGTCCAGATCAGGGCTCTTTCTTTTGGATCACATGGTAATTATGAAACTTTCCAACAATGTCCACATTCATTGTATGACGGAGTCCAAGAAGAGAATTCACAAAGCCAAAGAGACCAAAGCAATTAATATAGAGAACTTTTGCTTTTTATAATAAGCAAATTAATGTAGAAAAGTTACAAATGTCTATAGGCAATCAACCCTTGTAGATTTATTGTAATGATTGCGGAGTCGATCAAGATCAACCCCTTGTTGGTAGATAATTTATATTCTTATAATAATTTAAGCAGTTAATTCTTAATGTATTAAAAAATAGAGGTTTAAAATTGTTGAATTTTATGGTAATATTATATTGGTTGAAATATTTACTTGTTTTGTTTTAAAATAATAATTAGTTTTTATTTTAAATTTATTTTAAAATTAATTATATTTTATGTATTTTAAAATAAATAAATATTTTTTTAATTATTTTAACTTATTATTATTCATTCATTTTCATTAATTATTTAATAATAAAAAAATTTTATTTATCTTTCATTTTTTTAATGATATTTTAAATAAATACATAAATTATTTT